ATTCTCTGGGACAGTAAAATCTCTCAAAAATGTGTTTTGCCTGAGACTGAAATTTGCTGCTTTGAACAAATCTCTCATATTCAAGGTGCATCATCATTTGTTCTACATACTGAAACACTCTGCTTTATTAAAACATACAAGCACACATGTATTTATCCCTCTGCCCCTGCCTCTCTTCTCCTACACTCACTTATGAACACACAACCAATAATTGCATTTTTCTTGGGCAGAATCTGACGGGGAAGGCAAGCGGCCACACTCTGATCCTTGGCTCAAAGCGTTGTTTCAACAATTTTAGCCTCAGCCAAGTCGACAGTCAATGGCTCCCATGCTGTGTGTTACCCGCTGGAGATAACAAAGCCTCAGCGACTGTTTCTGAGGACTATCACAGAGTGTTGACACTACTAACAGGGTCAGCTGGAGTAATTACACAGAGATGTCATCATAGAAACAAATCCAATATTAGGGACACATTTTTAATGTTTCTCTGGAAAGCGCAGATCTTTTGATTTTGAATAACTTGTGTGACAAATTGAGGGCAAAGCTCTGCATGAGTTAATATTCCTGATTGTTTAGTTGGATGCCAGAAATATTGGTGCTGGCTATTATTATCTGCTCAAAGAAAATGTGGAAGCCACTTGAAACCCAATCAAAAACACCCATCCAAGTATGTAGCATGGGGGCTACATGAAAGTAAGCATCGTAAGAATCTAGTTCTAAATCATTTCAAGCTCTTGCGAGGAGTTCATAGGTTATTATGAAACATAATTTAATTAATACTATACATTTTGCCTCTATAAGACTTTTAAAACATGAAATGTATCATACAGATATATTTTTGTTGCTTGTCACTGCTGGGGTAGGTGTCAGATGAAGTAATAAACAATGTATCGTCAAAACTGGCTTTTCATGTTGAGAGATTAATTTTCTGTTTAAATACACTGGACATTTTAATGGCAAAAAAGGTTTGAATGAACTGGCAAAGATCAACAAAGTAATGGGATCTATTGCCTAATCTACATAAATTTAAAGATCCTTGCAGTAAAATTAAGTTCCTGTAAACTTTTTCTGAAATTGGGTTTAGATTGAGGGCTGCATGGTGCACTGGTTGCAAGGCCACAGCTGGACTGTTGTTTGGAGTTTGCATGTTCTCCATGTGCATTGGTGCTCTGGCTTCCTCCCACAGTCCAAATACATGCTAGTTGGAATAATCTTTGGCTCTGAATTGCCCTGTAGGTGTGACTGTGACGTGTTATTTCTCCATATGTCAGCCCCATTAATTGCATTGAAAGTCTAGGTCTACCTGCCTTTCCCCCCAATGACAGCCAGGAAATGCCCCATGCAACCCCGAACTGTATAAGCAGCTGGGGATGGGGGGAGGGTTTGCATTGGACATGGTTTTGCTCAGATATTTGAGTGTTACTAATTCTGGAATAAAATCATGCAGTATGCAGCTTTTTACATCCACTCTAAGCATTTTCTGCAAGCTAGGTATCCATAGCTACAGTTGTTGGCCTTGAGGATGGCCTTGGCGTTGATTGTGATCAGTGGTTATATTCCACCCATAGGAGTTTATGTCAAGGCCTTTTCATTCCTATTTCTGAAAGGCCTTCATTCAACATTGCATTCGTCACCTTGGGTGAAAATAGGTGCTATATAGTGCTAAATGCTAAATATGACGACCATAAAAAGCATTTTATAACTCATCATTCCATGGAAATTGAAACGCATACTTTTCTAAAGGAGTGAGCTTTCTCCTCTTATTTTGACTTGGATGACTCAAACATATAAAGCTGCATTACACATGCAGTCCGTCAGCGCCGCGCACTACGTTGTACTTAGCTTCCACTCTAGTCTATCATTGTGTTCACACAGGGCGCGCTGCGGTCGGTCTCCGGCACTACGCCCTGCTCCGTTTCAAATACGCAGCGAGTCTATTTTTGCCAAAACACAATATACGGACTCGCGATTGTATTTTTCATCACTTTATCAACATGACGTCAAAACAGGAACTGAATTAACAACAATGCATCCTCAGAAAGACAAAGCAACATGTTGTTTGCATGTTTTCCTCTTTATTCCCGCGGGATCTTGTAGTTCTCCTGTGATGTGTCATGGGTGCGCTCCGCTGCGCTGACATCCCAGAAACGGATCCAGTGTGAATGGGCGCGAGCCGTCTGACGGAGCAAAAAAGAATTGGGGGTTACACTGATTGTCAAATACACGTTTTTGACAATCAGTTTTTCAAAACGTGATCGACCACGCCTCCACTGTCTTGAAATGGTCAAAACTGTAAAATAAGCACTCTAAACAAGGTTGCGTTACATGTATGGATGTTATATACGTTTATATTCTAATGTGGACTTTCAGCTTTTTTGCATTTTTTCTATTTTAAGCGTTTTTCTAGGGGCTTAAAGTTGTGGCATGAACACATTCATCCGCTTGACATGGTCCTTCCTCTATTTGTTTTCTTCAGAGCAATGTGTGCAGCAATAAAAGACTTTATGACCCATGTATGGAATTGCCTGTCAGCAGCAACATCCACAACTGATTGGAATACAAGCGGAGGCAAAGCGCTCGCTTACGCTGCTCTTTGGAGCATGTCCAAGGAAATGTCTTGTATGAACATAAACCCTCCAAAAGGAATTCCCAAAGTGGAACGGCATGCTGGCAAGACACCGCTCTAATCCTGGATAGAATAAAAGGAATGAGCATGCCCAGTACATGCTTGCCAACACTTAAACATCTCCAAGGGTTCATCATGATTACAGGCGTGACATTATCTTCCATATCCTGTATCTGCAGTTTGATTAGATCAATCAGGTCTGGAGGGATTTTCGGTACGAATCAAGCCCTCCTCCAGCCTGGCACTGGAGTTAACACTCTCATCTAATCTCGTCCTTATCGTTGCCTTATTGTCTGAGAGAAAAAAAGGCTGGAGGACTGAGCGGCTGCTAGGTGAGTAATCCTATCACTGCTGCCCCCATTGTGAACATGTAAAGAGTCAAGGAGAGTCCAGAGGAGCGCTCAAGGCTGCTCGCCGTTATCAGCTGCTGTTCATCTCACACAGCAACAGTAACAACATGTGGGCACGGCGGGGGAGGTGTGTGACCTTGGCAAAATATGAATGTGTGTGTTTGTGTGTTAGCAATATTTTAATGGCACGTGTGTGTTTGTCTGCATGAAGGTGTGTTGGTGGTGGTGATTGCAGCGTTAATACGAGTCTTTTTAAAATTCATGTTTTTTCTGGAAGTAATTATTATTTCCTGATTTATTACTGTTGCAATAATTGGGTGCTAATTCAATGTGTGTTGCAATATATTTGATTTCTATGTAGGCTTTATATCATTCTCAACACCAATGAGAAAGGTCAATTGACAGGCGGATTAGCGGGACATTGTCAGTCATTTGGGCATCGTACTGGACGCCATGGAGAAGAAGGAGCAGAGCCTGAAGGCAACGCTTTCAAACTTACCAGTCGATCTACTTTACAAAACCTTACCTATGATCATGAGCTTTGCGTAGTGACTGAAAGAATAAGATCACGGATAGTGGCCAAAATGAGTTTTCTGAGGAAGGTGGCTGGTCTCAGCCTTAGAGAGAGGGTAAGGAGCTCAGACAGCCGGAGGGAGCTCAGAGTAGAGCCGCTACTACTCTACTTCGAAAAGGATCCAGTAGAGGAGATGCTGGGGTAGACTGAGAGTTTGAGAGATTGTATATCCCATCTGGCCTAGGAACCTATGGGAATCCCCCAGGAGGGGTTGGGAAGACTTGCTTGGAAGAGGGATGTTTGGGTTGACTTACTTAGCCTGATGCCACCATGACCTGACCCTGGATAAGTGGAAGAAAATGAATGAATGGATGGATGCATGGAAGGAAGAAGCTTAATCATGGATACTAGAGACCAAATATCATGACTTTTTCAGGATTAATGGCATTTATGAGGATATAAAAAAGGTCAAGCTCAAGTAATAGAGCAGGAACCTCATACACAGAGGCAAAGTCCTCAACGCTATGGTCTCTGGTTTAAGTCCATTTAAAAAAAGCCCAACAAATACTGAAAAAAGGAAAGATTAGAAATTTCAAGCAGTTTTATGTACAAAAGATCTGTTTGCTCTGAACCGGATAGAGCATCAGAAGTGGTAGCTCCCTGCAGCCCCATTAACCTAGCTTGTTTCCAGGGGTTCTGCTTGATTTTTGGTAAGATTTTTCCGTCAGTATTTGTTGCTATACGGTTTCAATAAGTTATATAATAAGTTATCCAAAGAGGTCCCATCCTATTATCTACTGAAAACAAATAGGAAGAGAAAGTTAGATCGGTAAAAATCACTATAAAAGGGTGCTTCATTCATGGCAAACGTCCCATTGCTCTCTGTTGGAAAAACATGTCATGCAATCCCATCAACGTAAAAAATGAACATTTAGTCTTAACTATTAGCTCATTGACTTCTACAGAATATGGGGCTGATTTATGAGCTTCCATGAAGGTGAAGCTGTGTATCAAAAACCTAAATCTATGAACCATCTCCTTGATTGCCAAAAAGAGTGTTTAAGATTAAAAAAGACATGTTGATGTCTTCTGAACACAGATGATTTGCTTTAATAATTAGACAAATTGAAACCTTGACTATTTTTCAACAATATTTATAACCAGTTGTTTATTACACAAAAGGGGGACTTTTGTCTACTTATCTTGTCCTCACCTTCACAATGCTACTTTTCCTCTAAACATATATGGATTGCTTCTGCTGTTTGGAAAAGATGCTTTTAAGAGTCACTTCTTAATTAAGAGCTCTTTTGCTTCTCTTGAAAGAGACAGACATTATAGATCACTTGTATCTTACTCACATATATTCATGAGTCTTTTTTTCCGGCATCCTTGATGTTATCTTTAATGTTTTGTCTTTCAAACATGAATAAATGACCTCTTGTTCTCCAGAAGGGGGAGGAAAAAGGTTTTACAAGCTGACTTTCCTGTTTTATTCTCTCCTCATCTTCAGATGGACCTCTGGAGCTGCCCCTCTTCCAGCTCATCCCCTCCCAGAGACAGCTGGTGTTTCGTGGAGACCGTCTCCCCCTGCAGTGCACCGCCTCCTACCTGGACCGCTCGGTGGAGCTGCGGTGGCGTCACAACGGCCACATCGTGACCACACAGGAGGAACAGGGCGTCTATGTGGAGGAAACCCTGCTGCACGACTGCTGCCTGCTGACCAGGTACGTGCAGAGGAGGGAGGAGGAGGAGGTAAAAGGAGGGAGGGAAGACAGATGGGGGAATGTGATCTGAGAGCTGATTAACTGCTAACTGGCCTTTTGCACTGAGACACATGCACACAAGATGTCCACACAGGCAAGTAAAGTCAGAATTAACACGGAGAAAAGCTGCTGTATAAATAGTCTCCTCTTGGTACAGAGAAAAATATCAACAAAGATCAACAAATGATTCATTACTTGGTAGAAATCTGAACATGTCCATCATGTCATTTGACTTAATACAATTTTACAACTAATTTCTCTGTAAATTATTTCTATGAACAACTGAATCTGTATCATCAATCAATCATTATGTGTATAGCCCCAATTCATTAAAAAAAATTATCTCGAGAAGCTTTGCAAAGAAGCAGGTAACAAGACCTTACTCGTTGTTATGTTACAAAATAAAAATGGGATAGGTGGATGATGGCATAAGATGCTGGAAGGATTCCTCCTTTGTATTCCTCGCGCTCCTGTTGTTCCACACTTCTTTGCTGCGGAGGTGGAGGTCCGAGCAGGCCGTGCAGGAATGAGGGCGGTGGTGGTTGTGGGGATGACACAGTCCGATGGTGGGGGCTAGGCGTCAGGGACGTCGGGTGGTAGTAGCACCCGATCACCTCGATGAAGGTAGGGGGAGCTCCGGCTAGCTTCTGCTGCCGGGACAAGGCCTCCTAGGCTTCTAAGACGCTGACGCCAGCGACAAACAGAAGAGGGGGGGGGGGGGGGTCCATATCAGCAGGCATGTCTCCAACAACGATCCAACAACCTACTTCTCAAAATCACAGTAAATAAACACAAATTGCTCTAACCATTGAGTTATAATGAATTAAACTCGAGGATGTGTCTGAAAGCACACACAGTTGTGTAGTTACTAACCAAGCAATATATACCATCATGCATAGCAGTGCAAATGTAAGGTTACGCATGAAAATACATTTGTAACAACTGCATTAACTTTCCACATGCCGAAGCAGCATTGGTCACGTAAAGATGTCCTTTCCCCCCCCCCGGGCGCGTCAGACCGGTTTTAAATGATAATAGAGTTAGCGTTACTTAGTACATTTACAAACATAGAACGCACATGTTGCAGCACACAGGCGCTCCGCTGTGTGTCTCACCCCGCCACGAGAGCTGAAGTGTTATCTTTTGTTATCACTGTCCTTGATAAGATCTGAGAGGACAGGACAGAATGGGCTTGGCAGCGTGCCGACACCTCGGAGCAATCTGCGGCTCATCCCCAAGAGGTCGGCTGTCCGGCCGCTCCCTCAGCGCCGGCTGATCACATTCTTAAGACGAACAGATGCTGAATCATAATTGTGGTGGACTGGCAGCATGGTTTCACACATTTGTTTAATCAGAAAACGTTTGTGGTAGCCTTCGCCCCTCTTCCAGTCTTTGTTTCCTTGGTGTGTGCTTTTCTCTCTGTGTGTGTATTTGATACAATGCTGTAGCAGCATGGCTCAGATGCAGGAGCACGTTGCTGTTGATTACTTTAACTGCTGCCTGCTCTGACTCGGCCTCTCTAACATAAATATTGATGGAGTGCTGACAGGACTGTGTCAACAGGGCCACAAAGACTCTTGTTGTGCGCTTTATGTGGAAACAAGAATGCCAGCTACTTTTTCTGCTCCAGTCCAGGGGAAGCTGCAGCGTTCCCTCGGCTGCAAACGCCACAAATAGTCAATATTTTTTCTTTTCATTATGCACCAGCTCACTGTTTGACATTCTCAGTGATCCCTGTGGTGGATGCACTGACTTGAATAATTGGATTACAGGCCGGAGAGATAACTTTCACAGAGGTCTCTGTGTCTCAGCAGAGATTTTTCTTGGCATCGCTTGTTTTTACGAGGTATTCATCACCAGAGGTCAAAACAATACAACACTCAGTCAGCTCTCATTGTGATCACCAGGGGAAGAGATGAAGGACTATAATCGCTTCCAAACTTTGGCATTACTTTGATACTTTAACTTACTTTTTAAACGCACAGTGTGTATATTCCACCACCAGGGGGCCCTCAATCAAACCAATAACAAAAGATGACGTTGTAGCTGGCGGGGAATCATGGGAGTGATTCTCTCTGCTACTCCACCCCCCCATCCCCGATGAAAACAAGCTCCCAGTTGATTGCAGTCAAGATGAATGGGCGAATCAGACCGGACGAAATCTTATATTTATTGATGAGTGAATGTATCAGAGTATAATTTACATGACGTTTCCATCACAGCAGCATGCAGCACCAGTACGGCAGCTTTCAGTAGCAGCTCTTGCTTCCTGATACAGCAGTCTTTGATGTTCCAGTGTTTCTCTTTTAAACGTCCCTCATGTGACCCACTCAAGCACGGGGAGAGAGAGCTTTCTGTTTTTATGCCCCCAAACTGTGGAACTCGCTGCCTCTGGACATCAGAACAGAAAGCTCTCTGGTTAGTTTTTAATCGCAAACTGAAGACCTGCCTCTTTAATCTGGCTTTTAATTAGGAGTTATTTTATTTCGTTTTATTTCATGCCAGTACTAAAATGTAAATTCTTTGTATTTGACATTTAACGTTTTAATTCTGTTCTTTTGTGACGCACTTCGGGCTGCAATTTTTTTTATGTATGAAAGGTGCTATATAAATAAAGCTGAGTTGAGTTTCCATGGCAACGATCAACATGTCATGTCTGCCATGGCCCTTGGAAACAAGTTTCAGGTTACATAATTTACATATTAAGCAATACTACAGGTCTGTTGGGCAGTGGCTCTGTCATGGCCGCCGCAATGGAAAAACAAGGGGTGTTACATCTATAAAATGAAGGCTTTGATAACTGTTGGATACATTTGAGGTAATTTAAGTACTAAATTCTACATTTTACACCTTTAAATGTCCCTGTAATTAATAAGTGTACCTGGATAGTTCTGAGAGAAATGTTTGGCTCTGTTCCCGTAGGGCTAAAGTATTACCTGAAGACTTCTTGTAATTTGTAGTTAAGCTTAAAAGCATCTGCCAGCATTTTTTTTTTTGCAAAGTTTTTTTTTTGGCCACATTCTTGGTTGAGCATTACAGAGGATGCTCAACCATTGGACCATTAGAAGTTAGAGTTGTAACCACGTTTGTGGAGCAAACAGTGGTGAAGCTAGAGTCTGTCAGGGCCAAGGGGGGACATTCACAGGAGACCCCTCCAACTTGTGTTCATCACCATAAATGTTAAAAATAATATGACACCAAGAAGATAAAGAACAATACAGACTTCAAATAATTGAATAACTTCAAGCCCAAATACCTTTACCTTGAATTGTACTATGTTGAAAAAGAGCTCACTTAAAGAACATCATAGAACAATAAAATGTTGTAAAAGCTTCAAATAAATCCATTCACAGATGGATTACTCCTCTTCCTTTTGCTTCAGTGACTTTAATTGACTTCACGGGAATTATTCCTGCGATGCTTAGCAGTGAAAGGAGAGAGAATGCTGTCTAATTGGGCCCCTTTAAGGAGGTTTCCTAATGTCATAGATAGATAGATAGATACTTTATTGATCCCGAGGGAAATTCAAAGCATCCAGTAGCAGGTTACAAAGATGAACTTTGCGAATTTTGAAAGTCATTGCAAACTTTGCACATTTAAAAGCCACTGCTGTTGTTTATAGTTTGTTAGCCCTCAGGGGCCCCTACTGGCCCGGGGGCCCCAAACCATTGCATACTTTGCCTGTTGACAAGCGGCACTTCTGGGTGAAAATTCAGTCAATGCCACAAAGCGAAAAGAAAAAGATAGAAAATTCAAAGTCAGCTCAAATCCTCCAGAAGAGTGACTGAACTAAATGTAGTCTTTACTCTCTGACAATGTGGATCATTTAGCAGCTTAAGAGTCTGACGTTTCCCTCAGGAATTGGTGGGAAACCAACTCAGAGCTTAATAGACATTGATATTGGATTTACAGTCATCATGATGACACAAAGAGAAGTCAAAAGGAGTATTTATTTTTACTCCATTTCTGATTCATTTGTAACTAAGACTCTGTGTGCTAATATACCGAAGCCCAAATAAAAATGTTGTCAGGTGAACGATGAGTTTAAATGTGAAGATAAGACTATTTCTCATTCTCTCAGAGCATCCCACCAAACTTTTATATCTGCCTTTAGCCACACATGCTGGAAGAAGCCAGATTCCCAGACATTAAAATATCTCCTATCAACGTCTTTCTCTTTGACACAAATCATGTTGCTGTTGTTGTTTTAAACAAAGTTATTTAACTGAAGATACAGTTTAGAGTTTTTCCAGAAACTGACTGAGCAATTTAAGAACATCTGGGCTCACAGCCCAAACAGCTCTGCTGAAAAGCCTCAGAGAGTGACACTGATTTTCAAACATGAAACAGTTTCATTCTGTGTTTGTACCAGCTGTGATTACTGGACCTGATTCTTTGGGAAATAAAGAGATTTCTGTAGACATTTCAGTGTGATGTAACGCTACAATCTGGTGAATAATGATGATGTAATGTAATGAACACTGAAGGAATTCTAATTTTAGAAACAAACTGGGATGAGCTTCACAGTTTGACACTTTATGGTCCTTTTTATAGTGTCTAGTCATAAAATTCTCTCCCTGTAGAGTATGTGCTGATAAAGACATGAGCTGTTCAGCCCAAATTCTCTTTTTTTAACCAATGTGTATTTCTAATGATAAAATGGGCATTTTTGAAAGGGTGTGTATGTGTCTTACGTGGCCTTTGCAGCCAGCCTCAAGTGGGCACTCAAGGAACTGCAGGTGTTTCGCATTTTCAAGGATCGTCTTCCTTTTTTCAACACCAGAGGTTGCCACTCAGTGTTAAGCCTGCACAGCACTTCAGTCAGCTGAGGTGGTTTTTAAATGTGCTGAATAATTAAACCTTGATTTGACTTGAAATCTTTTGATTTTGGTAACCCTTAGCAGTTGGTATCTGAAAGACTCTGTAGCATGGCAAAGAAAGCTGTTTGAAAACCATCGTAG